ATTATTATTATTATTATTATCCAAGGCATCCGCCTAAGAAAATAAGACAAGCAAATGCTCTCTTTAATCCATGATCAGCAACCACAGATGGCATGTCAATGTATATAACAGATTGCGTTCACTGTTACTCCAACAACAACACCAATCACTCCCCATCAATTGGAGAGAAAGTAAATACATGTTTCTTACTTCCACAATTATTAGCATATTATATGATGGTACTTTATTAGCAACCTGGTAGTTTATTATTGAATCAGTTACACATACCCTGTATCAATGTCGCCCGTTGGGAGCTACCACTTCCACCAGGGTCTGATGAGACACCTCTTCCCATCACAGGGAGACCCTCATTATTGCAAAGGGCCAGCTCCTTGGCAGGAGTGTGCTCATCCTTTTTGCATTTGGTGTGCCATTGTTTTAAATGGGTCACAGCCATTGACTGTATATATAGGATATGTGCAGCAGCAAGAAAGTTGCTTGATGTGGAAGTCAGATTTATAGATCCCAGAAAACTATTGTTTCTTCTTTATCTAAACTAAAAGGTCAGTATCTTCTTTCCTTTCTGTGTTTACTCTGTAAACACAAAGGGGAGCACTCTCTTGAACAGCAAGTCAAGAAGTGATTATCATTCCTTTCAAGCGGCTCGTGCTCACTGGTTTTATGGGAGAGGAGAAACCACCTCATCCTATCACCTATCAGCACATTATTGAGTTTACCTGTCCAGTTTATCGGGGAGCAGGTGTGTCAATAATGCATTTCTTGAGGCAACCCAATCCCTGCAATTTAAACATTAAGGATTCATTTGTTAAACTGACCTACCCACCATATACTCAGAGGCCTTGCGACTCAACTGATAGCAGGCATAACATGAAAACGTCAGGAGATGTAAGTAAGTGTCTACTCTGTAACATATTAAATAATGGAAAAAAATCTGTTTCAGTTCATCACCACCCAATCTGAACTTAATTAGGGACAATAGGAAGCCACTGGGGAAGCACAAGAGACCAGAAGAGCTGATGAGATGAGTGGAGCTTGAGAGGCACACTGAGGGCACCTAGTGGACAGGTGAGAAATATCAGCCTTTGAAAAACCTGTAACAACCTGTAACCCTAACCCTACTCTAAATGGTAAGTGGAAACTACAGAACATGTCCAGCCAGGATGGAGGATTACATTTTCTACAGTTTTTAAACTATTCTCTGTTCAATAATTAGTGAGGTCTTGTTGATCTATTTTTTGTTTTATTATGGGACCTGTAGTTATTGTTCAAGTTTGACTAACCAGTGCGGTAGTTGATAGGCTACCCACTTCACTTGCAATACAGGCATTGTGCATTATTCCACATGAGTGGAAGTCATGGTTTTCACACGCTGAAATGTGCATACTGTCAGCTAACATTCCACAACACAGAAATATACAGCTGCATACACATACATATATAGGAAGATGTGCCAACAATAAAACATAATTTCCATGAATGCCATAGTTGCTTCTAAGAGCCTTTAAGAGCTGGGTGTCACACTATATGGCAGCATAGGATGTCAGTGGAAAAGCTCTGTGTGTTTTGTCAGCAAGTGTAAAAGGAAAGAGACACAACATTAGTTTTTTTTAGCCTTGAACTGAGCTCTGTGGTAATGGTATAATTAGTTCTCAGGGGAATGAATCTGCTTTCTTACTGTGTGCTGGTTCTCAATTTTCTAACTCTCTCTTTACTCTCCTCCCCTGCGTCTTTCTCTTCCCCACTTAGTCCTTTTTCCTTTCTCTCTTTTTTTCCCTGTGCCCCTCATTGTCTTCGTTCTCTTTCTCTCAATGTCTCTAAGTCAGAGGTGTGACTGGAATAGCTGTTCTTTCCTTTGGGAGCATTTTGTGGAAAGTCAACTGACACGTCAAAGTTACACATAAAGGGAGAGAGAGAGAGAGAGAGAGCCTGTGATAGATAAACAAGAAAAAAAGGGGATGTTGAAAACTGGAAAAAAAGAGGCTTCAAGAAAACGAAAGTCAAGACATCACTTTATTAGAAAAAAACATGCAATTAATTGACACATTCACATATTACCTTGGGCATGTACGCGCTACCCAGGGTCTGTTATGCTGGTGTGTTGGCCCAGAGGCTGGGTAGCAGGATTTAATCAATATCGGCTTTGAGGGCAGATACCTACACCAAAACATTAGGAGTGAACCTGCTGGCAGCAGGAACTTTTAATATTCACCATCTTTTTGCCTTTTAAAAATCTGAATATCACAAAAGATTAAAGCCTTCTCTTTGAAAACCAGTGTAGCATTGATCAAATATTACTGCCATCAGTCATAAAAATAATTAGATAAGAGGGTGGAGGGAAGCTGTGCATACATCCTCATATGTTCAAATAAAATGTTGTACAACATTAACAGGGAAATTCATCAAGCTAACTGACTTTTCAGGTTATACAGTCAAAATCAACAACTTGTAATAAACCACAGTCTGTATAATTTATCAGCATTGTCTTTGCTCAGTTAGGGTTGGCTGTTTGTTTTTAAGTGTATTTGACACACAAAAGTAATAAGTAGGGATACCACTTTATTTAGAAATCTAGGCGATGTGCACACATTTGAACATATTGATATTTTAAAGGGATATGGCATATCCTGCCACAAGATGGCAGTCATGTATAACCTATAATTAACAACAAAAGGCAAGCTGTAAACCTGAGGTGGTGACCAAGAAATACATAATCTAGACAGGCTTTGAAATCTGCTCAGTATATATTATCTTATCAAAGACCCTACCATTCTTATGAGTTTATTGCAATAAAACTCTTTTACAAGTTATAAATGGCAAGTTTCTCTTTTTTTCTAAGCTGACCAGGGACTAACAGTCTTTTCACAGCAAACATTTTGATTTGTCATAGCAGGAAAAGATCAGGTGTAATAACATTAATTATATCTCTGTTCTATTCAAATGTCCCAATAAGACATGACAGTGTGACATGGAGCTGGCACGCACAATACCAGGACCCTAAGGCAACTGAATGGAATTCAGCCATCATTAATTGTATTATGTACTGTGCTCTTCTATAATTAGAAAAACCATGTCACTTCTAATTGGGCTGGTTCACACACACACACGCACGCACACACGCACACACACACCACGATGAGATGCAGCTGGGTCGGCAGGTATCAAAATCACATGATGTAGACTTTAGGGCAGACTCAGTGGAGCCAACCAGTGCGCAGCAGAAGAACTGCAGCAACAGGAAAATCCAGAGGGAGAGTTTGAAGCTGAGGGGAGAGAGAGGGAGACGCTGCAGGTAAATTAACTTCCAACACATATCTAATGAGAGAGTCACTAAAGAGTCTCCACAAAAGAAGCAAAAGAGAGTTTTAAGACAAAACAAATAGTTAAGGCACTGATCAACACATTGCACTCAGTATGTATGCTTTTAATGACTTTCATACCCCATTTCACTTTTTATAACCCAACAGATGACAACAACTCTTAAACCTAGCCAGTGAGCATGAGGCCAACATGTGGAACAGACTGTCCTGATGAAAGCTCTGTCAGTTTGTGCGTTTTGATCTAGAAAATGAGTGAGCTTATACTTATACCATTATATCATGAAAATACATTTTATTTGATATATTAAAGATTCTCAGCAGTTTGTCATTTCTGCCAAGAGGAGAACTAGCTATGGTGCTATATGTCTTCAAAGGTAACAATGGAAAAAACATTTTCAGTCTGGTGCAGTTATGACAGGCTGGCTCAGTGTTCGTTCCCAGAAGAATTTCAAATTCAGTTTTTAAAGGATAGCACTTTAG